GTATGCTTGTTTGTCTTTGTGTCTATGGTGTATAATGATGTGATTGTGATGCTGTAATTCTGAGTGTTTTATGGGCTGCAGAACAGGAACCTGCTCTAAAACAGCAATTATGCTGAGCCAGGCTTGATTTTTAGTAATCTTTTCCTGTTAAATCAATAAATCAAATCAAATCAAATCAAATCAAATCAAATCAACTGTAGCAATAATAAAAGGATTAAAGATAGTAACAATAAAAAATAAGCATTAAAATAAAAATAAGAATTACTGTACAGGACTATCAAGATGAAATTAGATAAAAATGAAAATGAAAGCAAGAAACTGTGCAGAAAAATATGAAATTACAGGAAAAAAAACAGTCATGACAGACTCATGATCCGAGGGGGTGTGCAAAATGAGTCACACTCAGTCATTAAGTCAGTGTTCCAGTACAGGAAAAACAATGTACAACTGCCATTGGTTATTATTTATGGTTTACTGTGATGGACTTGTGTCCTGTCCAGGGAGTACCCCACCCCTCACACTGTGACTGCTGGATATGGGCACCAGTGACCCCCGTGACCCTAGAAAAAGAATAAACAGGTATAGATAATTGATGGATGGATGATTGAGAGGTAGAATTCTTTGGCGTGCAAACACAAACCTGAATGCTTGTGAAGATTGTTGGGAGCAGTGATGGTCACAGAGTCTAACAGCTGATGGGAGGAATGATCTGCGGTAACGTTCTTTTGTGCATTTAAGATGTAGCAGTCTGTCACTGAAGGAGCTCTGCAGTTCAGCCACAGTTCCACGCATTGGGTGGGAGACGTTCTCTGTCACTGATGTTATTTTTTGCCAGTGTCCTTCTGTCTCCCACCACCTGCWCTGGGTCGAGGGGGCATCCCAGCACAGAGCTGGCCTTCTTGATGAGCTTATCCAGCCGCTTCCTCTCAGCTGYTGATAAGCTGCTGCTCCAACAAACGATGCCAAAAAAGATGGCTGAAGCCACAACTGTGTGAAAAAAGGTTGAAGAGTGAAGGCCCGCTGCGCTCCAAAAGACCTCAGCCTCCTCAGCAGGTAGAGTCTGCTCTGACCCTTCCTGTAAAGAGCGTCCGTGTTGTGATGATACAATATTATACGGTACAGGTCTCACTTGTAAATGAAACAATTGTGTTTCAATGAGACTAGCACTTATAGCAAATAGCTATTTATTTGGATGATGACGTGATGTTTCTCAATATTGCAAAGTCTGTCATGATACAATTTCGGTTCAGTCTACTTCACATGTCTGCAATTGATGAGATAATTGCTCAACTCAATCACAATGTGTTAGATGGGCATATGATATTGATCCGCATCTGGCATATGATGATGATGATGATGATGATTATGATGATGACAATGATGTGGGTCGATGTTTTTGTTTTACCTTGATCTATTTGATTCATTAATAATTTAATTGACGTATCAGTATGGATCTGTGCATTGTTACACTCCTGGAGACAGTGGTGTTGACTTAACGACAGGAGACAGATGTATAGCAAAGCTGAAGACGTGGTGATCTTGAGAGGTACACCAAAGGATGAATGACTGGGACATAAAGTTAAAGAGGCCAAAGTGAGATAGTTTGGACATGTTAAGAGGAGGGAAAGTTGGTATTTTGGCAGAAGGATATTGGAGCTGCCAGGAAAAAGACTTGGATACATATGGATGTAGTTAGAGCACATGGATGTAGTTGGAGTTGATATAGCCCTGAATAAGGAACAGTTTATATTAAATTATGCTGTGGATAAGCATTTAGTGCATACAGGGTTTAATATGCCTAATGAATGTTTACTAATTTTGAACTAAAATTAAATTTTTCGTTCATGCCATCAAAAACTAAAACGCAAACACCAATGCATACACCAGGGGGCGCCTGAGAGCCATAATATTAGACATTCACATTAATTTAATAAAATACTAAAAAACAAAAGGGTTTAGTCACCTTTTCGTACTAATGTGTGTGCTTTTATTCAAAAACGTATGTTTTTTTTCTTTCGAAATATAAAGCTATGAAATAGTTGTTTCGTTGTATTTAAAAGTTTTAAATTCACACGATATTTGAAAAAAAAATAGGTTGTTTTCAAACTACAAAACAAAACTGCATTTTATTTTAATCAGTGGTGTAACAACATCTCTGACAGCGTGGTGTAACTACAAACAAATAGGCGTATTCAGCCAGTCCCTATAGTCCCTGCTGTCAGTTTCTGCTTCCGTATTTACACACCCACCTACAAAAAAAAAAAAAAAAAGGTTTACCAGCGACAGTCGGGCGAATGTTTACCGAGCAAAGCGCAGAGTGGTGGTGCGGAAAGTGACAGTCACACTGGAGGTTCGGCGTACATGGTGAAACACAGGTGATTTCTTTGCTTCCACGGTTGCATTTTACAGCGGCATGTTCACTCGAAGGGGGCATGGAGACGTCAAGAAATCTACACAGAAAGTTCTGGACCCAAAGAAGGATGTTCTGACCCGGCTCAAACACCTCCGGGCGCTGATAGGTGAGTGAAATGTCACCGGCGGATGCTGCACCGTCGAAGCTTTAGCTTCTGGAGCTAACCATCAGACAGCTAACGTCAAACAGGTTAGCTGACTGTCGCTGCGGTTTCTAGTTCTGGTCAGCTGACAAGCAACATGCGCTTCTGTGTAAAGTGCTTGCTTCGTGTCCAGTTTTTATCTGTATTTTTTAAAAAGTATGGTCATATTAGACGGGTCAGACTGTGATGGGAATAGAGGCTAATGTAGGCTAGCTTCCTTGCTGCTAACTAGCTTGCTAACTGATGTTGTAGTGCATCAGTGGTTCACATGACCACCACAGCCTTTGTTGTCTCCTGCTTCATCGTGACTATTTTATAACGCAATTGCATCAACATAAATCTATGGTCAGAAGCACAGATAAAAGCAGATGTTTTTAATATTCATTTAGAACAGGAGCAACATTTTTATTCAGGTTTTCTTGGATGGATGGGGTAAAAAAAATAAACTTGAATTTTATTCTGTATTTCATACTGGGCAACGTTGTTCTATACCCTAACTCTTAGTGTTGTTTCTTTTATTGGACAAGGAAGTGTTGGCTTTATGACAGTCGTAAAACTAGCTGTTCCTCCTGTCTTGTCGTCCAGCACTAAAATGAACTATATATATAYAGTATATATATATATATATAGACTAATTTTTGCATAGTGGATTTTTTGTGCTACACATTTAAATCTCGTTCAAGCCAACTTATTGTTCATAAATAAACTATATTAACCTAATCTGGGCTTGTGTTTCTGTGGGACTATTTGGAGATTTCTCAGAGACAGAAGGTTAAATTTACACAGCAAAACATTTCAGTTTCAGGCAAAAAAAAAAAAAAAATGGCATTAATGTTTTCATGGCAGGACCCGTTGAACCACAGAGATTAAACAAACAAAAATAAGCTTGACCACAACTTTGGCACTATAAATCATAATTGCATCACGCTAAAATAGAATTAGACTACATCCTTCGTGATAGTATTGAGGAAACCATGACATGTGGTACCTAGCATTGTGTTATTCTCTGTGCATCACAGACAGATTGGGGTCATCAGGCACTGTGGCAAAAAGCAGATAGGAACAAAGTTGTCAATAGAGAAATGTTGAGAGCAACAACAGGGAATCTGCTTTATGAGCAAGAACAACACGTAATTTCTCTTTTGATTTTCTTTCAAAGCAGGTCACGGATACATGCATTTGCAAGGATTAATGTCTAGTCTAACATGAGGGCTGGTTATTTTATACATTTGTCAAAGCATAATTGTAAACAACCTCAACTACAAATCAATACCCCTGCATTTTCTTCTGTTGAAGCATAATTTAAATAGATAAAACTCCCCAAATTTGTGTGCAACCAATATGTTTTTGTATTATTATTATTATTATTATTATTATTATTGTAGTACATAAAAAATATTATTTTCTGTTGCTATCTATACAGTATTTTTTAAAACCTTACTCATTAGGTTGCTTTACATGTCATATATAAATTGTCCTTGAAGAGGAGGAATTGTTGGAGGATGATGCACCTTTCAGATGTTTACAGTTTGTTTCCACACACACAAATGTTTTGGGGCATTTATGTTTTTTTAACTTTCTAGGTGTTGTATAGATGTTTGAAACTGTAGAAATTATATACTTTCAAAAGCATGTTGTCAATGTCGAGTAGTGCCAGGAAGGTCGAGGTCAGACCGGAGTTCCAGATGTCCGCTTGTGTTTTTCTTTCCCTTATGTGCAGCAAAAGATAAGGCTTGTGTATTTGTCCAGCAGCTGCTCGTACGGTTTACACACTGATGGTTCCTCAAATTTGCAGATTTTGCTGCGCTTTCAGCTAAGGATTTCCTCCTGGTCCGGTTGGATCCTGTGTGGGCAGGAAGCAGTGATCAGAGATGTGGTGTAATGAAATCTAGGACAGGGACTTGGAGAAGTAAGACGGTTGGTTCATTTCTCACATTGCTGCCATGTTTGATCGAGTAAAGAAATATTCTCGATCAATAACCCCAATCAAATCATCTCCCTGCCCTAAGACCAACAAACTAATTCTAGCATTATTTTAAAGCTGCATTTAGCCAGGATAAACATTAACAGTCTATTGACCTCATATTAGGCGTTCAAGCTAAAACACTGTGGCTGCTGAACTGTTTAGCCTCTATGTTTAAATTCAAGAAAAATGCAGAAATATAACTTAAACAATTTAAATAAGATAGTGATGTAAAATATTGTAGAAACAAAGTGTCTCACCATATTATGCCCTTTCTGCTTTAAAGTTGCTAAAGCAAAATTATCATTTTCTGTTGTTAGGCTTTAAACATTTTTGTCTTTGTATTTAAGGCTCCATTTTCAGTATTTTGTTAAGCAAGCTTGTTGAATCAAGTTGTAGTGTCTGTGCTCTGAGCTACCTTCAGAGTGTTTTTGTATTGGTTTTCCTGCTCACTTAACAGATCTGTGGAGTAGAGTGTGAAAGCTGCTGCATGTTAATTTGCTGGTCATGCCTGGCTGGATTTGGCTGAGGTTGGTAATTATAGGAGGCCAACAAACCACCTGATCACTCACTGTTTCTCTCAGTGCTGGCACAGAGGACTTTCCCTCATATTCTTTCCAGTTAGTCAAAGCCCAACATTTACTTGTGCATGTTGTGTTTATAT